CACTCAGAAATCAGAAAAATTGGTAATGTTCTTTTTTTTGTAAAAACAGAAAAGAAAACATTAAAAAAACAACCATTATTATAGTCTCCAAAAAAAAGTTTGAATTTCTGTTTTCTTTTTCCTTTTGTTTGGAAATATACACATTATGAATTAAAAAAACTTATAATTAAACTTTTAACTTATTATCCAAGTTTACTAATGATAAATGTTATCACAGAACTGGCTTTACAAATGTTTAACTGCAACATCAAGCAAATTTTAAACAATATAGATATTTAACATTACCCATGTTCTCTCATAGATCATTGCATGCTCTATATTACTGAATACTTTTCATTATTAGAAAGCTTTACTCTGTTATTACCATTTTTCTAACCTTACTCAGTAGGATTCATAACTACTATCGCAAGAAAATATATATAGGAAATAAAGATCATTTGGTGCTATTATAGCGTGAGGTCTACCGCCATATGTCACCTACCCAGGTCTATCAAACATGTATAAAAATGTATCAAATTAAGTGTTTATCGCTAAAATAAATGTATGGAAATGTGTGATACATTTTTATACATGTTTGATAGACCTGGGTAGGCGACATATGGCGGTAGACCTCATGCTATAGTAGCACCGATCATTTTCCAGACGGTTCTGCTATGATTAGCGTCTGACAGAAAGCTTCAGCAGATATTTCCTCTGCAACATCTCAACCAACAGTTGGTCCAGTTATCAATGCTATTTTCAAGTTTTGAACAACTCGACTTTCAAGATCTAGATATCTACATGTGCCGATGTTTCCGTTTATCAACGTTATATTTTAAGATCTGTGCAAGAACTTAGCTAACAGATGTTTCCGCATATAAAAGCTATCTTCAAATTCTGATACTTCTTCATCAAATGGTATTGTTAATATGTCATTTTATCACTTTTTTTTCACTTGCGTGTTGGGTTTTGCTTGTATGTTTTTTTAAATCCCTATTGACCAATAAACAATATCTGTGACTGAAGTATAATAAGAAACATATACATATCATTTGGAAAATGTATATAAAAAAACACTATAAAACCATTGGTATTTTCATTAATGCACGGTCTACAAAACATTCACAAAAATATCCAAATGTTCAAAAACGTACAAAAATTAAGTTTTTTTTTAATGAACAGAGAACATTTTTCTATCTTTGTGTACTTATCTGTTGTTGAATCTATAAGACTTAAGAGTATTTTTGGGTTCTTCTTAATACATCATATAGTAACCTAAATTATGTTAGGTGTGTGAATAATAATATGGTATTACACCCAAGTTATTATTCAATATTATACAATTAACAAACTGTTTAATGATTCTATATACATTTTACAAATTTCTTTTTTCACTAAATGTAAAATTGAAAGAAGGATCTGTGATGTAGAGACCTAATGCATTTCCTGACTGGCCATACTCTCTGCTGTGGACTGCAATTTATATATGGAATAATTAAATAGTTCGTCCACTGTATAATATGAAATAATAAATTAGGCATAATGCTGTATTATTACACCTAAATTAACTTAGTTTACTCTACAGTGAATTATAAAGGACTCAAAAACACCCAAAAACTTATATATATGCATCACCATTACAAGAGGCCTAAGTGTATTTCTTTGGTTTGCTCACCCACACTGTGTTGATGAGCTTTGAATAGGCGAAAATGCAGTCCACAGCAGAGGGTATGGCCAACCAAGGAATGCATTAGGCCTTTAGGTCACAGATTCTCTTTTCAATTTTACCTTTGGTGAAAAAGAAATGAAATTGTAACATACATACAGATTCATTAAAAAGTTTGTCTGTTGTTACATTTGTTATTTGCTAAAAATACACTTAACCAGATAAAGTATTTTAAGGGATACAGAATATATTATCTTAATTACACTTTGATAGTTTATTGTACATTTTTCTTTCAATTTGTTTACACAATAACCAATTGAAAATTCAAATGATATGAAACCTCATTCTAAAATAATTTGGTATAACAGTTTTTGATGCAAAACCTGAAAATCCATTTTCTTAGCTTATTTTCATTTAGAATTTTATAGCAACAAGTAAATCACATTATAATGTAAAACTTATATAAAAAAAGAAACTTCTAAAGAAGTGTCAGTACCAGTACTTTCTCACAGATCAACAACTGTCAACAGTATACAATTACAGCTCAAATAAATTATTTTACACATAGTGAGTACTGTCAACTGCTTTATATATATATATATACGAGTACATTTTCTAGAAGATTTTATGACCAGACACATGAATAACTTATTTGTTAAACGTTTGTGTATGAATCTGTTCACCTTGCCCCCAACCTCCAATTCCTCTGATATACATCCCTTGGTAAATACACACCTATTGTTGATTTTAAACAAAATTCTTTAAGTATACCAAAAAAAAGCAAAACAATTGGTAATACAGCCAAAATAAACCCCCTTGTTTTAGATATAAAGGTAAGAGTTCCATATGGCACCCCCACTCAATTTAAAAAAAAATTCATCAAAGTAATATTTATGTCTTAATAAATCAT